ATCCAGTGCTGGCGTGCCACCTTTTCACCAAATCCCATGTATTTTTCCTGCTTAATGTCCCTGCATGGGAACTTAGCAGCTATGCATTTTGACATGCTTTCTGTGCAAGGGTGTGAGTGTAATACTTTTTAAAGTTTCCCTTTTCTTTTCTTTTTTAACCTGTGTAACCAGTGGCAAAAATACCTGTAAGCGTTAATTCATTTCTTTCCAAGGAGGCCTTTTCGCTTTTTTTAAAAATAGCAACATAAAACTTTAATGGGTTTCAAAATAATTGCAGATATCTATACGAAAGCAGTATTTGTCTGCCTATCTCTGGCATCTGTACTCTCAAGGTCACTGACCCAAAATCCAAAAGTATGCCAAAAAGTAAAAATGGTGATCCTGATCTCTGAAAAAGTATAACAAGATCAACATGACAGCCAAGAAGGTCAGCAATGGTAGTCTCCATATATCTTCAGTAAACATGCGCTTTAATATTCTGTAAGGGGTATGTTTCAGGGGCAAGACAGCCTAGAGTATTATGGCAGGATTGCCATACTGATAGAAATGGTCTCTAATGGCTGAATTTACAATTTGTTTTCATAGTAAGAATTTCTTGTAACTTTTCTGCAGAATGAATTTTGGAATGTAAGTTCAAACAAAGCAGGCCATTTAAAAAGATGTCAATTAAGAGTGAAGTGTGACACATCTGCAAAAAAAGGTATGCCATTTTCTGTCAAAGTGTTAGTTTTTTGTATTTCAAACTACACTGTCTTCTTGAGTAGATTTTTTAAAATAGTGGTTCAGCATATGGAAGAACCTGGTTATTGTTTATTAGGCATGAACATTACAGTTTCCATGGCATTCTGCACTGTAATTTGTAGGCTATTAAGGTGATTTTTTTTTACAGTGGTTGCAGAGTGGGATTTCATATCCAAACGTGACTGCTTTAAAAAAAAAAAAAAAACACAGTTTTGCTACTACTTATCACACCTGGCAGCTAGAAGCAAATGCAAGTGGAGTATTGTAAAAAGTACATATGTCCAGTCAATTTCGACCACATTTTTACAAACAGACACACACTATGGCTGGATATCTGCACACACAGGTTCATAAGATGTTTAACTCACCAAAAGACCCTCAGCATGGCATTGCTGACTCCATATATCTTGTCTTGAAATACTCTTTCTTCATTCTGTTGCACCAGGCTCATTTCAATTAATTTGGTACTGGAATAAAATATTGTATAGTATTGTCATAAAAATATATTTTTTAAATGTTCTTATATTTAGCACGAAAAGGCCATAAAAAAAAGAGATGCTCTTGCACTGCTTCAACATCGTTACTGGAAAGAGTTGCATCCTTACAACACCAAGTATCTGTATTGCAGAAAGGGAAACAGGCTGCCACAGTCTCTGTGAGCAAGTTGAATGAAGAAAAAATAAAACTAGCAGCTGAACTGCAGCTGGCACACCAAAGACTTCAAATCAGCAAGCAGATGGTAAAGGTAAGGAATGTTCTTTGCTTTGCATGTAGCAGGAAAATCAGTGAAATAATTGCAGTTCTCAAATAAGACACCAAGCTCATCAATAATGTTTTTTTTACTCTGCATTCATAATGTCACATCTGTGTTTTTTGCCTTTTCTGTCGTAAGTGGAAAGAAAATGGGCACTTTTGCATTTTTTTTCTAATTTATATACTTTGAGCATTTGCTTTCTTCCACCTACCTGCTCCCACCTGGTCACAGGCATGTCTTCACTGCTGCATAGATTTCTTCCCAAGGCAAGAATGTTCTAGTGGGCAGCTGTTCTGTTTATCAATGCTGAGCTGAGTTTGCAATTTTATTAGCAACTTTAGACCTCACCAATTAGTCACTTAAGTGTCATGGCTCACATTATATGCATAATCAGCATACAGTAGGCCAGCAGGAGGTCAATATTAGGTGAAAGTGTTTTTTCTTTTAACAGTATTTAAGGTTTCTAAATGGTAATAATTTATATTTTGTTTGAAATGAAACAGACGCATATGTAGTGTTTAAAATGTCTGTGGTTTTGGACAAGCTGTGCTGTGATTATTATAAATAGTTTGTATTGTCTGCATGTTTGTGTTAGTGGTGCTTCATAATCTGTGCTTCTGAAGTTAGGCTGATTTATCATGGATTCCAACTGTTTTTTTTTTATTAGTTACTGCATTTAAGAACTTGTGCTGTTTGAGGGAACATGCATGAGATTGCCCATGGTGGACGTGCTTTGAAGCCTCTTTATGCCTCCTGCACACAGGCACCTTTATAATATATAGCATACACAACCCACTCCAGCGATCCTGACAGCTCCCAGTACTGGCTTCACCAGTACTGCAGCAGTGGTCAACACTAAGCAGAAGCTAAAATCTATCCAACATGCGGTGATCAGATTATCCAAGATGTGGTGGTCAAACTCCCCTCTAAGTACTGTTTGTGTTGCAGCCATTTTGTCATAAGTGGCCTTCCCCCTCCCTCCTCCTTCAGTTCATACAATACACAAACTGTTAGCTGATGCCAGAACCTCCTTATCAGATCCTCGAGAGGACAGATGCAGACCCTCTCATGCCTATTAGCCATTGCACACTTCAGTCTGGAAACCCTAATTAAAATGTCTGACTTCTTTGCTTGAGTAACTAGAGTTTTAACACATTCTTGGTCTGGTCCCAGACACATCAGTCATATAACAGTCATAAATACCTTAGTTGAATTAGCAATACACACTGCTGTTTCTCTCCCTTGGTAGAATCCATATTCCCAGTGTATTTTATAACTTCTGAAATAACCACAGTACAGCCAGAATAAGGACAAATTTACCACCCTCAGTTAATTTGTGGCGTTTTGAGTCCAAACATCGTTACCGTAGGAGTACTGAGAGCACAACCGGCTCAATTCCTCTTCTAGGAGAACTGGGCATCCGAGACCTGTCATATCTATATTCATTCTTTATGGTGATTCAATGCTGGACAGTAATATGCAAGTTAGCAGACTATAACCTGTAGGTATTCAAAGATATTAATACTTATATAAAACTGTATTTGGGATACAGTAACAAACACAGTGACATCCCATGGCCACTCCTCACCCGCCTAATTGGTCAGATGGTCAGCATCCCCTGGATGTCAAAGAAAAGTTGACTGCAACCACATTTGACAGCTCTTGTGTAACATCAAACCAAGGAACACCTGTCAGTTTGTATGAGAGCCAATGTACCATCTTGCTTGATTGATTAGACTCTGCTGAACCTGGACATTGTTAGGTATTCTCACCCTCAACTCCTTTTTTATCTCTGTTGCATTGTTGTCTCTTAGTTTCTTTGTCATACCTTTTTGTTTTGTAAATATTTTATTTGCACCATTTTGACTTTTTTGTTATTAAGCTCTGGTTTGAAAAGTGTTAAAACTATCTTTAATGCACTAATGCAAACTCAAAGAATCCATTTCTCTTGAAGAGTGCTACTGTAGTGTAAATTTCTGAATATACCTGTCTGTGGTGACAGTGTGTGTTACAGATGGGTATTCTAAAATCATACTTGCTATTGCTTACATTGGGAAAGTTTCCTACTTCATGGTTGCCTGTTGGCAAGTAGATTGTGGTTCTGCAGGTTGGAAAGTCTTTGTGTAGGATGAGGCTGAGAGTGTCATTGTTGCAAATCAGTGACAGGATCGTGTGAGGTTGACCAGTCATTTTCACAAGTTGGTGAAAAGGGCAGTGGTCTGACCCGTGTTTGTCACAGGTTTCAATGACAACTCCTCCAGAAGCTTGTCCTGCATCTCCCAACTTCCAAACACACAGAGGACTTTAACCCCCTTCCCTCTTAAGGTGACAACTTACAGGTTCAATTCCAGCAGCAGCTGCTATAGAAATTTGATATCATGCTGCAGAATTTATATTCTGTAGTGTGTTACTATGCCCCTAACATACATAGATCCCTTTCTTCTTCCACTTACTATGGGTAATAGATCAGCACTTGAAGGGAACGCTCATCATCTGTGGAGATTCTGATCTTACCCTGCACCCAACCTAGATAAAACCACAGCAACACCTTACCACAGCTTCTAAGTTTCAGTCCCTCCTCAATCAATATCGATTTGTAGGTACCGGTATATGGCAAGAGTTCAATCCTACTAGACGTGAATATACATTCCATTCGCAACCATACAATTTCTTTGGTAGGAATGACCACATTTTTATTTCTCAAGTCTCCATTCTTCTCGTCAGACATTCTGAGATCCACCATGTTTCTTGGACAGATCATAATGTAGTCATATTTCACCTATCCTTACTCTTGAGAATATCCTCAAAACACTCTCGGTCACTCAATGAATCCCTCCTGTTTGACCCATCAGTTGCTTTCTCCATTATCCCCAACCACAGTATGGGACGCACATAAGCCCACCATCACAGGCCATTGCAACGTGCTACTCAGACTAAAAAAGCTAAACAACTCTTTCATCGCAAACTTAAAGCAGCCTTTCAACAACACATCCTGACCTTTCAAACGCATCCCACAGTGACAAATCATGCTATGGAGTAAGCTTGCCTCCCAACTCCGCACCCTCCTGACAAACTTGAATACAGAGCCAATCCATAGAACCAAACATACCTATTACACTAAAGGAATGAACCAAGATGCTCAATTAGCCCTCAGACTCAATATAAGCCCTTTAACCTGAAGATCAGTAACTTCTTGTCTTGTCAAAATTCTAAAACTCTCCAAACTTTACTCAGCTATGGACACATTCCCTACAGAATTAGTTGATCATCTGTTCTCTAACACAGGGCTTAAAATTTCAAGTCCTGAGCTACTAGCCAGGCATTAGAGTTACTTGCCACCAACAAACACACACAGAGACACCTGTACACACACACAGACATGTACGTACATACATACACACACAGAAACATGTACACACATGAACAGAGACACATGTACACACACACATACAGACACATGTATACACACACAGGCACATACAGACGCGCATACACACAGATACATGTACATACACAGAAATACACACGCACGGACACGTACATACACACAGACACATGTACATACACACACAGACAGACACATGTATGTACATACACACACAGACACATGTACATGCGCACACACACACAGACACATGTACATGCACACACACAGACACATGTACATACACACAGACACATGTACACACACACATACATGTACATACACACAGACACTTGTACAATTGTACATGCATACACACAAACACACACACACATGTACACACACACCCCAATAAAAAGTTGCAGTACTTCGTTGTTCACTCACAGATCCAGGTACTGCACCCTAGGGGGAGGCAGAGAGCACAGCACACACTCCTTCCTTTGCTTTCACTGCGCTCAGCTATTGAGCAGTCTGACGGCTCCCAGTGCCAATGACAGATCCGGCCTGAGCTCCGAACCTGCTCAGCAAGACGGCCCTGGGGGACACACTTGTCCCCACCATAATTTCCTCTCGCCATTGGCGAGCAGGCGAGTGGAAATTTCAAGCCCTGCTCTAACAGCTTGCTCCTCTCCCTTTTCCTTAGTGATAGAACCTCTCCAGACCTCCCCATTTCATTTGAGGAAATTCTACAGGTCATCAAGCAGCATAAACCTAATAAAAAACCTGGACCTGACTGCTTTTCTGCCACTTATTATAATACGTTTATGGACCTTTGCTCTCCCCTCCTACCTACTGCTTTCAGTATCATTCTGAAAGAATGTAGATTGGGATGAGACACCCTCTCCACAACCATCTCCATTATAGTGAAGCCTTCTACTGATCATACCTCTTGGTCCAACCAGTTTCCCTTTTAAATGTAGATATTAACATTTTAGCATGAATTCTAGCTACAAGACTGAACTTCAATTTTCGGTGGCACCACCTGTCCCTCCCTTACTTAGGGATCCATCTACCCACTAACTATGATAGTTTATACTTTGCTGACTATCCCTTGCTTATAAGGAGGCTGACATCACTTCTACATAAATGGGATAAACATCTTATATCCTGGCTCGGCAGAATTGCTGCCATCAAAATGATGTTTCTTCCCAAAATTCTATACTATTCCCTGGTCCTACCTGTTTCTATCCCTACTCATACCCTAAGAATGCTCCAAATCTGCATTGTTACCTTCCTATAGCATAACACTATATCCATACTTAATAGAAATGCCTTTGAGCTTAACACATACTCTGGAGGTCCTACTTTACTATACCTTTTAAAATATTTCTATGCTGCCCAAATCACTCAAATTCCTAAATACAATACTACATACTAGACCCCATTATGGGTAGCAATTGAGGCAACTGACTGCGATCCCCTTGAGATACATAACCTCTTTTGGCTTAACGCTACCGACAAACATGACCTCTCAAACCCTATAACTAAATTTACATTTCAAACATGGGATGTTGTTAAATATTCGGTGAACCTGCAATCTCCCAGTAAGCCCTAATGTGTCTTACTCACAACCCTGCCTTCCTCTGCATATTCCACTCTCCTCTGTCCTTTAAACATTGGAAACTAAGAAATCTGACTAAAGTTAGACACTTTCTTACCAAAGACAGATTACACTTTTCTTTTGAGTGTAAATGTGACTCTGACCCTCTTGCACCAGGAATGATCTATATACTCTGCTTCATACTCTTTTCGCTTTCATCTCATCAGATTCCTACCAATACGCAGACCTGGAACTGAGACCTAGGTCTAGACTTGGATGTACAAGAATGGTCCCAGATATGGTAAACCACCAAATCTTATTTCTGAAATCTTTTGGCAGTTGAAACTAATTATAATTCCAACACACTGTTACTTAGTGTCCTCAAAAATTGTACATTAGGTGCCTAGATTAAACTGCTCTGATTTAGGGGTGTGCCTAAGTGGGAATTTTTCTCCATACATGATGGACATGCCCTATATTGTACCTATTTTGGCTATAAGTACTCCAACTGATCTCTGAGCTATTAGATTCCTTGAACCCTCTTTTGATCCACTACTCCTTACTAAATCTTAAACCTCCTGCCCTTCCAAAAATAGCTTTAATCTTCTCCTTCATGTCCTGACAGCCACCAAGCATACATTTGCAAAAGCCTGGAAATCACTTATTCTATAACCAAAACCAAAAACCGAATCTGCTCAGTGATACCTTTCTACTGCTTCTATTCTTCCTGTTAAATCTTGAGTCATCCTTTTAATCCTCAGTTTACTGTCAATTTGTATCTATTACTCTGTAACAACCTAAAAACATATTGAACAAGAAGAATTTTCACTAATTATTAATTAACACCTTTAGTTCCAACAGTGACAGATCCCCATTGGGGTGATTTTTGGTGGCCTCCTGGGGTCTATTCCTGTCTGTACCATTTGTTATTTACCTGGGGCATACCTTGTATGTGCTTTCTATACTGCCAGGCAAAATTCTTTGAACTGACTGTCAGTGACAGCTGGGTCCTTTTCTGTGTTGCAGGAGTTCAGACATTGAGTACTATGCAGATTTTAATCAGCTAACAATGTTTCCAGTCTGCATTTACACATTGTTTTATTATTTTATTTTTATTCATTTTGCTGTACCATTCAAATATAAACTTTTTTTTCTGTGCTTTTACATTTATTTTGTTCATGAATTTTGATAATCCTTATTATTATTATTATTACAGGATTTATATAGCGCCAACAGTTTGCTCAGTGCTTTACAATATAACGGGAGACAATACAGCAACAATACAGTTCAATACAAGAGGGTTAGGAGGGCCCTGCTCCTTGGAGCTTACAATCTAAGAGGGAGGGGCTAGTAATACAAACGTTAGTAACTGTGGGGGATGGACTGATGGGAGGAGTAGAAAGAAAATTCCATTATTACCGTATTTTTTGCTCCATAAGACGCAATTTTTTCCCCCAAAAAAAGGGGGGAAAATGTCAGTGCGTCTTATGGAGCGAATATGGAGCAGCCGGTCCGGTATTTCTGCCGCCGTCACCATGTCAGAATACTGGGCCGGCCACTCGTTTCTTCAATGCAGCAGAAACTTACCTGTTCCTCGGTCCAGCACTGTACAGTCTTCCAGCGCCGGCATCTTTAGTGTGGGCACCTGGCTGTGACAGCTGGGTGCCAACTGCGCATGCGTGAGAAGCGCTGCGCTTTGTGAATGGTATGGCGTCTTCTGGGACACATGACAGGTCCCAGAAGACTCCGGACCAATCACAAAGCGCAGCGCTTCTCACTCATGCGCAATGGCCACCTGGCTGTCAGCCGGGTGCTCACACTAAAGGGAGAACAACTCCACGGAAGTGGGAGCGGGTACCTGTCAAATTCAGGTACCCGCTACCCCTCCCTCCCCAAAGGTCCACAGTCTCTTGGTCATCCCCTGTACTGTCTGCAGTCTCTGGTCATCCCCTGTACTGTCTGCAGTCTCTGGTCATCCCCTGTACTGTCTGCAGTCTCTTGGTCATCTCCTGCACTGTCTGCAGTCCCTGGTCATCTCCTGTACTATGTTCGCAGTCTCTGGTCATCTCCTGTACTGTCCGCAGTCTCTGGTCATCTCCTGTACTGTCCGCAGTCTCTTGGTCATCCCCTGTACTGTCTGCAATCTCTGGTCATCCCCTGTACTGTCTGCAGTCTCTTGGTCATCCCCTGTACTGTCTGCAGTCTCTTGGTCATCCCCTGTACTGTCTGCAGTCTCTGGTCATCCCCTGTACTGTCTGCAGTCTCTGGTCATCCCCTGTACTGTCTGCAGTCTCTGGTCATCCCCTGTACTGTATGCAGTCTCTTGGTCATCCCCTGTTCTGTCTGCAGTCTCTTGGTCATCCCCTGTACTGTCTGCAGTCTCTTGGTCATCCCCTGTACTGTCTGCACAGTCTCTTGGTCATCCCCTGTACTGTCTACAGTCTCTTGGTCATCCCCTGTACTGTCTACAGTCTCTTGGTCATCCCCTGTACTGTCCGTAGTCTCTTGGTCATCCCCTGTACTGTCCGCAGTCTCTGGTCATCTGCTGTACTATGTCCTCAGTCTCTGGTCATCTCCTGTACTATGTCCGCAGTCTCTGGTCATCTCCTGTACTATGTCCGCAGTCTCTGGTCATCTCCTGTACTGTCCGCAGTCTCTTGGTCATCCCCTGTACTGTCTGCAGTCTCTGGTCATCCCCTGTACTGTCTGCAGTCTCTGGTCATCCCCTGTACTGTCTGCAGTCTCTGGTCATCCCCTGTACTGTATGCAGTCTCTTGGTCATCCCCTGTTCTGTCTGCAGTCTCTTGGTCATCCCCTGTACTGTCTGCAGTCTCTTGTTCATCCCCTGTACTGTCTGCAGTCTCTTGGTCATCCCCTGTACTGTCTACAGTCTCTTGGTCATCCCCTGTACTGTCTCTCTGGTCCTCTCCTGTACTATGTCCCGCAGCTCCCTCTGGGTCTCTCCTGTACTGTCCCGCAGTCTCTGTTCATCTCCTGCACTGTCCGCCACAGTCTCTTGGTCATCCCCTGTATTGTCCGCAGTCTCTTGGTCATCCCCTGTACTGTCCGCAGTCTCTGGTCATCCCCTGTACTGTCCGTAGTCTCTTGGTCATCCCCTGTACTGTCCGCAGTCTCTGGTCATCTGCTGTACTATGTCCTCAGTCTCTGGTCATCTCCTGTACTATGTCCGCAGTCTCTGGTCATCTCCTGTACTATGTCCGCAGTCTCTGGTCATCTCCTGTACTGTCCGCAGTCTCTGGTCATCTCCTGCACTGTCCGCAGTCTCTGGTCATCTCCTGCACTGTCCGCAGTCTCTGGTCATCTCCTGTACTATGTTCGTAGTCTCTGGTCATCTCCTGTACTGTCCGCAGTCTCTGGTCATCCCCTGTACTGTGTCCGCAGGATACAAATGGAGAAACAGAAAAAGGGCGCACCGACCTAGTGCATTATCGTTTAAAATAATTTATTAAAGAAACAAAAATAGGTATCATACTCACAATGGACATAACACAGGCATATCAAACTGAACAAGGTGTATGATCCAAACAACATCTGAGTCCATACGATGGAACCCTGGATGACCAACTGGCTAACGCGTTTCGAGGACACAACCTCTGAGGAAGAGGTTGTGTCCTCGAAACGCGTTAGCCAGTTGGTCATCCAGGGTTCCATCGTATGGACTCAGATGTTGTTTGGATCATACACCTTGTTTAGGTTGACATGCCTGTGTTATTATGTCCATTGTGAGTATGATACCTATTTTTGTTTCTTTAATAAATTATTTTAAACGATAATGCACTAGGTCAGTGCGCCCTTTTTCTGTTTCTCCATTTGTATCCAGTGTATTCGGACCACCCCGGTCTGTTGAGGGCAGCAAGCAGTGCATATTCCAGAAAATTCCAGAACATTCCTATTGGGTCTACTGAATCCTTTCCTAGCGCAGGAGTAAAGTGTTTGTTTACTGTGTCCGCAGCCTCTGGTCATCCCCTGTACTGTGTCCGCAGTCTCTGGTCATCTCCTGTACTGTGTCTGCAGTCTCTGGTCATCTCCTGTACTGTGTCCGCAGTCTCTGGTC